TGTTGTTTTTCCTGAGTTTTCTGAATTTTTTTTTTGGGGGGGGGGGGGGGTATACCCTCTATCATATCCATCTTAGTTGTGTCTTCCCTAAGCTGAACAGCTCTAACTTTTTTTTTAGTCTCTCCTTTTATGGAAGCTGTTCCGTACCCATCGTCATCTTTACCCTTCTTGGAACCTGTTCCAGTTTCATTCTACCCTTTTTGAGATAGAACAACCAGAAGTATTCACAGTGTGGGTACATCTGGGATTTATATAGTAACATTATGCTATTTCAGTATTGTTTACTGTCCCTTTAATAATAGTTCCTTACATTCTGATGGGGCTTTTTTTTTTTTTTTTAAACTTCTACATACTGAGCTGAAGTTGTGCTTTAACTTTGCACCCAGAGTAGTCCTACTGATGATAAACATGTGAGTAAGCATTTGTGGGGTTGGGTCCATAGTAAGAATTTGGTGACTTGATAGTGAGTGCCTATTGTTCCTGTGCAGTTCTGTAAAAAAAACCTTGAATACTGCATAATTGGACTTGCATTTAAATGTGAAGCATATTAATCTTGATTATTTTTTTATACAGTAGAAATAGAAGGGACATCTATTGTGTTTGTATAGTGGCCAGCATTCAATCTCCCCAATTACAATTGTTCGTAATTGGTGAAACTTTCATCTTTTTTGGGTTGCAATATTTTAGGATTGGCCTGAAGGTGAATTTTTCTTTGTGTATGTGGGGGAATGGGAAATCTGGTGGTGAGGTGAGACCAACTGTCAATGAGTTGAGTGAGTGTTTTGATTCTGGAGAACCATGGCAGATATACTTTCCCACAATAACAAGGAAATTAATGTTGTTACTTTTTCAATAGCCCAACCAGCTGCATTGGTTGTAATGGAAAATTTAACTTTGTAATGAAAATATTCTAATTAAAGAGCAGTTTTGAATTTCTAATTTTTTTTTCCAGACAACAGCACTCACTGTTAACCCATATTTATTTGGTAAAACCTCAGTGTATATACACTTCAGTATGTTTGTTTTTTCTTCAGACTACTGTTTTAACCAGGTACCTGTGCATAGTCAGCCTTCCTTAGCAATGAGTTTAATGTTTTGTTTTTTAAAACAAATTCACATGATGTAGAATGCACTGTGTGAGCACAGTATGCAATATTTACAAAGGTTTCTAGCTCACTTGAAACAAAACTGAAGTTCATCATAACCGTGTTCTTCCTTCCTATATTTCAGTCCTCACTCTTTAGCTGAGGAGCAGCTTATAAATAAATAACATTGTCTCTTGAATAGGAAAAGTTTTTGTCCCTCTCTTTTCATATTCAGAAATTGCTTTGCCTTTCTTTTGTTGAAGAAAAATTATGTACTGCTTGGGTGCTAATACAATTCTTAAACTATATTGGGGAGAAGAAGGAACTTAACATAGCATGTGAGATCTAATAAGTGAGTTATTAGACATCTTGAATATTGTCATTTTCAGACAGGAAACCATTCCTTTCTCCATATCAGTATTGGAAAGGATTACACTGCTCTTTATCAGCATGATACCATGACATTGACATTATAGCCATATGGTCTTCCGTGGTTATCTAATGCTACTTACACAATATCTGTTGAGAATTAGTATCTCCTTGGAGTAGAAAGCAGCCTCCCTGATCGTATCTAGAGTAGGCATGTGACTGGGCGACTATCTGATAAGCATATAGGATAGTCAACTAGTCCTGCTCCCCCCTCCCGCCCTTTTGCTGCCTATATCCAGTGGAGGAGGGGAGAGGAGAGCAGAAGCTGGCTTAAAAGCCAGTTTTCCTGAGCACTGTCTCTGTGGGATGCGGGGGGAGGGAGGGTTGCAGGGACCAGGGGCAAGCCAGGAATCAGCTGATTCCTGGCTTTTGCCCAGTCTCAGACCCTGGGCCTCTACTTTTTAAATATATTAAGAGCCTGCTGGCTCTTATTACATTTGTCAGAGCAGCAGAGGGGGAACTAGTTGTTCCCAGCTCATACCAGATTCTTCCCCCAATTCCCTCTTCCCACCCATCCTCCGTGTTTCTGCTTTTTAAATCTATTAAGAGCTGGCAGGGAATTCCCTGCTTGCCCTCCAGTCCCCGTTGCCTCCCCTGCCCCCACAGAGATGGTGCTTGGGGGAAACCGACTTCTAAGCCAGCTCCTTCTCTCCCCCCTCACTGCCCCTCTCTGATAGAGGCGGTGGGAGGGGACAGTGGGTGGAGTGGGTGACTAATCAGCTATCTGATAAGCTTATGCTCGTAGCATAGTTGTCCAGTCACTTACATCCCTACTCTAAATATGATTAGTATCTCCTTCCTATTCAAAGGAGATACTAATTCTCAACAGATATTGTGTAAGCAGCATTAGATAACTGCCCAAGACCATTATTATATACCACAAGAATCTTAATTTTTTTTTCTCCCATTTACAGATTAGCTAGGAGAGCTAAAAGCTAGTCATTGTGTGATATTCTAAAATTCTCAGCATATCTGAGTATGAGAGAACTTCAT